TCCTTTGCTCTACAATTTGACGATTCTCACATTCACTCAACCCTCATTGTTATTTTTTCTTTCGTTTGACTTCATTTCACACCTCTGCATCTTCCTTACTATATTAGACTACGATAATGCACTTTCTTCATTGATTCTCCTGAATATGGTTTTCTTTTTTCAGTCAGTATGCCAAATTACTGAGAATTCCTTTAATCAAATTTGGTTTCTCTGAACATAGTCCTGAAAATAAACAACACTGGAAATAAATTTGACAAAAACCATTATCTTTCTAGTTCGTTATTAAAATTCTGAATTTTCTGACTCTAATACTTACGGACATCTTAATTCAATATTAGTCAAAATGTAATGTATATATATATATATATATAGAGAGAGAGAGAGAGAGAGAGAGAGAGAGAGAGAGAGAGAGAGAGAGATATCAGCTAGTCATTGTGATTAATTGAAGCTTTGTATAGGCATTATTCTTGATAGAGAATATAATTTGGTCAAGTAATGATTCAGTTTTTGTGGCTTTTTACTTTTATGGTGCAGTTGATTCTTCGCTATGCGAGGCCATGTTGGGGACGAGACACCGGTTTACTGCATTTCATAGTTTTGTTAAATTCTGCTTAGAACCACTTGCTATAAAATCTGTCTTTAGGGTTTATTATATTATCATCCGCCTCCAAATTATATCTGACTAATATTATCGTTCATTTTTGTTTTATTGACATCTTTTGATATTCATACGATAAAAAAAGTTTCATTAAAGCGCGTTCTATTTCAATTAATAGGACTTTCCAAAAAGATACATTAACTTATCGTTTCCTCTCAAAGCCACGTACGTCTCAGAATAACATTTAAATGCAGTAGAGATTTTGAAAATCTAATGAGAATCAATCATATTTTGGAAATGTATATGTCTGATCAAACAGAGCTATTAAAAAACAACGTAAACTAAATAACATTTTTTAAAAGTGATAGAGGTCTACTTTGTGAAACACTCTCTCATATGAACAGTGAATTTAATGTAGTGTTTGATGAGCAGTACTTGTTCTTGTGGAGTTACATAATATAAAATAATTATTTCGACTACTATTTTTTTAATTTGACATTTGATAGTTCTATTGTTCATTCGAAATCCATCTCAGTAATCGGTAATTTATATTTAATCTCTTACTTTTTCATCTACAATCATTTGGTTTAACAATATTCTACTAATAGCGAAAACCAACCTGAGATTTTCCTGTATATTTACTTCTCCGTCTTCATCCTGAGAGAGCCCTAGGTTGACCTCCTCATGACTTTTAATCTTTGCTTGATGACGACATCTGACCTCGATTCACCTTCCAGAGACCTTTGACCCTCGCCTGACATTTACATTCAATAGAATGTTACATCACTGGCATGGTAGTATTTTTTGCTGCAAACAGTGCCAATTAAAATCACAATGAGAATCTTAATTTGTATGCGGAGCAAACATTCGTTGCTTTCGGCATATATGCTCGGCTCATAAAACAATTGTGAATAGTAGTAAATCTTAAAATTAAATGCTTCATTAAAGATAGTAGAAATTGAATGAACCTTGAATTAGAAATTAGAAATGTATGCATGTGTTACATTCACTTGTTCATATTTTACAAAAGCATCTGTAATGACTAGAAAAATAAGTTTTCTAATTTTTCTGTGCATGTTTCTGAATTCCTATTACTTTCACTTACGTTTTGCTCAATTTGTCATAATTCACAACAAATTGCATCCTAGTTTTGTGCATTTTTAAGATAAGATTTTTTTATGATTCTGTACAATTACTACAAACATGTATAAGTACCAATTATAAGGAAAAGGATTCAAAAACGTACCTCTTCCCATGATTCTCCAGAAATATTCCCTGTGGTTAAACTTTCACCAAAGATGCTGACTTGCAAATATTTACCTGACAAATGAACTACCTGCCTCTCAAGAACTGACGCACTACCACACCAAAACCTTCCGCCTCACCCTCTCCCCTCACCGGCGTCTACACTGGACAAGCACCACCGAACCACACCTCCAGCGCTACAGGTGGCTTCTGTAGAAGATGTTAATCGACCACGTCGCTCACTGAGCCACGCCACGCCACGTGACACTGAACCACAGAACACGCCCCGCCTGCTGCCCAGTCACGCATCGCCCCCAAAGGAATGCTGTCCGCAGGAGCTCCCTAGAGGCATGCTAGGACGCTTGGCACGGGCGTCGAGGACGCCGGTAGGCCCTAGGCATTACGCTGTAGTCCAGATTTGCACCGCGGGGCTCGCGGGGCTGAAGGTCAGGCGCTCCTCTTGTCCCGCGCGACCGCACGAGCTGGCACTCCGCGCCTGCGTTTGGCACTTCTATATGAAACAGGCTCTGGTCAAGGATATAACATGTGTTTCTCTCATGACTGGTACATATTTATTTCAAATTTTGTGTATGGACATTACAACTCTCCTCTTAAAATTTCCCATTTTTTAATATAAAATTCGTAATAATGTAAGGAAAATTTACTTACAAAATCATCAGTCTTTAAGTCGTTAATTTCTGATGCAAACGGAAAACATGTAACGACGTTAACCACAGTATCTTAAACTTATTATTTTCAACATGCGCATGTTTTATGTTATGCACTCGTTCATGCTTCATTTTTGGTTTTACACAATTGAGAAACTCTGAGAATTCGTTGACAGATGCATTTCAATTGTAGGATGTGATAAGTAATGAATATTCTTTCCTGTCAAATTCAAACACCCAATACGCAATTTGCCAAGTGCATACTAGTGAATGTCAAATCACATTTACATGATTTGAGCGTATTACAGTGACATATATTGGTCTTATTTCTATTTTAAACTAAATGCTTAAATACAGTTAAGATATTTCATTTCACGAACTTTAAATTAAATAGTTCTTCCCAGGGAATAACTTGTCTAATTCAGTAAAAGAATTTGTAAATATTTCCAGCTGAAGTAAAAACACAGTGTTTTTAGTACAGAGAATGCCTGTCAATCTATGGCAAAAAATTATTGGACCTGTAATTAAAGATAAAAGGATATGTAGAATGGCAAAATTTAATTAAATTATTATTTTAGAAGATGCATTTTCCGCAGAAATTATCTAATTCTGATATTCAGTGTCGCGATATCCTTATTGAATAAGCAGTGAATGTAACTTGTAGCTTTTAAACAAATTCAAACTAACATAATCCCCTTCATTTCTTTCTAAATGTATTAGTCCAAATAAAGTAAGGCGTTTTGAAGAACCCTTGCGATAATTATTGACTTAAAATCAGTATTAAAATTTAACGATATAAAATTGGTGGATTCGTCACTGTAGTGCGATTCGTCCTGGTTGCCAAACTTGTGAACCACTCAATATTATTTTCCACAAGTAAAATTCCTAGCATTGACCTCATTTTCATTTTCAATCTTTGTGAAAGAGGGAAAAGATCAATTTTATATAAACCACGGTATTTAAGATTATTATTTGTAATGTAATTGGTTCAAGTGTTAATAAAATATTTTAATTTTCATTCATTTCATTTTACAGTACATTGCTAATAGATTTTTAAGGTATCTTACGCACTGCTACTGACCTACAGTAAATCTATAAGGTACGAGGTCTGCTGCACAGCTACTGGCCTCTGGCAAAATATATTAGAAACCAATCTGCTCTTAGCGATAAGCAAAATATAAGGATCGTGATGCATCTACCAATTTATTATTTAATTATTTATTTTCCGCTTTTGTCTTGAATTAATCTTTACTAAACATTGCAAGAACTCTGCGATAATTCAGAAGGAAAGCCTGTAAAAATTTCATACACTCCTTTTTGTGGTATCGACGTCGGTTACATGTAGTTGAATTCTCTGTCATTAGTACTCATTTTGTGGAGCCCCGTTTTGGAGCTCCAGAGCGGTGAAGTGCCGTCGCGGGGAGTGCCAGCGCCGTGTGCGTTCCGTGGACAGGGTGTGGGGTGTTCCGAGCGCATGTGCCCGCGTCGCCCGTTTGCCCGTTGCCCATCGCCCATCGCCCATCGCCCACGCCCCGCACCGGCTCGCTTGTCGGGCAGCCCTTAGGGCGGTCCTCGTGCGGCGCCTTCGCCCTGCCCTCGCCCGCAGCCGCTGCCGCCGCCGCTGCGACCATCGTTCGGCGGCCGCCCGTCTTCTCTTGCGCCTTCTTTTCTCTTGGGAGAGAGCGCGTGCCTGCGTGCGAGTGCCTGCTCCTTGGGAGGAACCAGCTGCTGCTGCTGCTTTTCGATCACTGCTTGTGACTGATGCGGCGGCACCGGCACTGCGTTCAGGTCGACAATGTCTAGCGAGAGATTGCTTTCATATAAGCTCAATATTCGAACATGCATAATACTCATTTACACGAATGTTCATGTCTCCCACTGTATGTATTACCAAAGGTAGAGCAAAAACCTATGATGGCATGAACCGGTTTTACAATATTTTTGAAGTTAATTTAATGTCAAAGTTAATTTAATCACTGATTTTTGTCAAAATGAATTCAAATGTCCAAATAAAGCCATAGATTACAAATTGTTCTAACCTCAAAATCGATTTTTTTAAATCCCTTTTGGAACTTGGCGATTTGATAATAGTGACTTATCTATAGCTTGCGTTTCTTCGAAAACATGTCGCTTTCAGACGTTGATAATATCTGTACCACGGTGAAAATGAACTCACAAAGGTACAAACACTTTACTCCGATCCTATTTGTAAAACTAGATCCACTTGTACAGTATCGATTTTGTATTTAACAGTTATTCACAAATCTCAGCGCTGTATAAATTGTATTAACTCTTCAACAAGCCCTGCGAAGTTCTTGGCATCCGACTCGGGGCCCCGTGCCGGCGCCGCGGCGTCCGTGTGCGCGCATGTGAGTGAGAGTGGTTAGCACGAGATGTGTGTGTGTGTGTGTGTGTGTGTGTGTGTGTGTGTATGTGTGCGAGGTGCCGCGCTGCGCCGCAGCCGCTGACGCGCGCGCGCTCTGCCGCAGGCGACATGAACCCCGACGAGGGCAGCGTGGGCGAGGTGTCCATCCAGGTGGACCTCTTCACGCACCCGGGCACCGGGGAGCACAAAGTCACCGTCAAGGGTAAGTCGCTATTCTATTGGACAGCTCGGTCTGTGTGATTCACGACTGCCCGCACAACTCTGAGAGACGAGATGTGAAAGGGCCTTATAAAATACCTACAGGTGGAAGAGAATAAATGTTACAAAGTTCTAGAATAAGCAGAGAGGTCAAAGATCACATTTTGCTAATGCACATACGAGGTAACACTTTGCCTCTGATCGGTAGGCAACTCATTAATCAGGCAAAAATGGCGGGCTCTTTGACTACGTCAGAACGTGATTCCCCAATCACCAATGCATGATAGGTTGCTTTTAGGATGATGAAGATGATTGTAATGAACCAATAAGAAAAAATGCACGTGCATGTTTGTTATATGATATTTACCACCAAATCTATTGGCAAAACGTATCTGGATCTGATTTACACTGAAACCCCCTGCATGTAACTTTATTATTGGAGTTATAATCATCATTAGGTTGATGTTGAAATTTTAATTCACTTAATACTACTTTGTAGTGTAAAACAATGTGTAGTTATTATTTTGTCATGAAAATAAATTAATAAAAATCCCTTACATATTATGATTAGTTGCAAGACCTTTTGGAGTAATTCATATTACAATGAAACCAAGTTTTACAATATATCTAATATCTAATAAGTGTAATAATTATTTAACACATTAATATGACTAAAATAATAAAATGTATTGTAAATAAAACTGATTTATCAACATAAGAAAAGCTTCATAAACTTTGAAAAAAAATAATTTCTTTCCAGTCTCAAATATAAAAAAAATGAATAAGAAAGACAAAAACTTTTATTCAATTTATTCTAACAATAATATTTACCTATTATAGACACAATAGTAATCCGAAACATTGTTTAAATTACATAAAATGGGCTGCATTAACTGCCAACTTATCTTTAAGGTTGTTCCAAATCCGTTGGTTATTTTTAAAAAAAATAAAAATTAAAAAAATATTCCTATAATGACTAAACGAATCATATTACATTAGTTGACAGACCAATTAAATACTTGTCACTTCTAGCTTGTCCTTTTACCATGTGTACATTCAACTACGTGCAAATTTATGGGAAATACTACAATAGTTTTCAGCACTCATTACCATTCCTGTAAAATAAAAGTAACTATTTTTAAGCATAATTAGTATTTTAAGCATAATATTATAATTTTACTAGTATAGTTTTCGTTATTTGTCCTTTCCTGTAAAATACAATTAACTGTGTCATATTTTTTCAAATTTATTTACTTGCTAATCGAGGAGCTTTATGTAATAATAGTATTTGGTGAACATTTTCTAGAGGTAGGAATCTTTCAGATATATCCGTTGCGGTGCCAGCACAACACTTTGTCTTCTAATCAGAAATTAACTAAACAATAGCATGTATTTTCTCTACACCTCCACGATAATGACTTCTTAAATATGCATCAAATCATAATAGTTCAAGTGAAAACAATTTTAGAATTTAATCTCCCATTGAAAAACATTCGAGAGCACCTGATAAAGTTTTAATGAAACCGTTTTATTTCCGAAATGCAGTTTATCCAAGAGATTGTCATTATTTTAAAAAAATGTTTGTATAGAGTGAAATTAGTTTGGAAGTAATTTAGCATTTGAGCTAATAATATTGTCTACGCTACGATAAATGGCAGTGGCAGGTCCAGCAACCACGCGCTGTATCTGTATGTTGACGAGAAGTTCTATTCACATCATCGGCGTGGCTTTGTCTCATGATTGATCTATCACAGGAGCCGTGTCCTGGTCACAGGTCGTAACTTGTGTGGCTTGTGGTATTTCCACAAGTAGTCGAAGCCGTTTTTATTCACAGCCGATTTTAACCGCGTCGCCCACATGTATTTGTCATTCAGAGAATTTTGATTCCTATCTCGATCCCTTAACGTTTTCTTGCAAAATTTTAGGATAGCAATTTGAATCCACATTTAGTAGGTTTACCCAGTACGATAAGGCTCACTTTACAATTTCGCATATCTATTTGAACGAGCCTAATTCCAGCCGGATATTATATCCTAGTGGGGTTGGAGTGCAGAGAGAGCACTTAATGAAAACTGTTTGCATTTGCTCTATATCGTCTGCGCTTCTCAGTCCCGAAACTTCTGCTTCATACATAAAAGACAACATTACGAGGGCTTTCAACAGCTTATTTTTGGAAGCCCTATTTGTCGTGTTTCCCATCATTACTTAGGTACAAATACTTATGTAGGTATAGCTACCAACGAGTACGGGGTGGATTCCATTGTATTTAGAGTCTTCCGACCTTCTCAAATGTCCTTATATCAGTCTTCTTCACGTTGATTTCTAAGGATTTGTAGCGACATTACTGTGAAGGAGGATCAAGTTTATTTTAGAGGTCTAGTACATAGTTTGTAAGAATAATTACATCGTCTGCGAATAGAAGTATTTCTACACATTTGTCTATGATGGTATTTTTATACTCAATAAAAATTCCAAGAAGTCGTGCAGTAATAGTCTGAATAATATGGGATTCAAAGAGTCACTTGCAAAACGTTGCAAAACGAAACCTGTTGTATTTCTCCTATGTTAAAAGGAATCCGAAAACCATTGAATTCTGAATATGACGGTTGAATATGAATACCTTTCCTTCCCAAATGTTTGTGATTCATGAGCAGAAGTAACTTTGGAAATAACCTCTTCAATTGCTGGTGGTGCAGGTTAAAAGAGCTCCGCTCGCACTGGCTAGTGCTGGGTTTCCTAATGGGGTCAAAGTCGACCCCTTGGGGGTCGATGAATTTTGAAAGGGGGTCAGTGATGTTCAAAGGGTTGTTTGTGGTCATTATATCTACATCGGACTGATAAATATAATGAAGATCAAGGTTCTATTGATTACAAAAACATAGAATATTAATAAATTGAATGACAATGAATTCCATAATTAATTGGTATGCTTTGTAGAGCTTCAACTTATTTCATGAACATTAAAATACAAATTCTCTCCTCTTTTTGAATTTCATATCACTCCCATTCATGAAAATCTAAATTTTGTGCAAATTAAATCTGTAAATCTGTACATGAAAACTTGTTTATACAGTTTATGAAAAAACTAAAATCTATAATAGTGTGAAAAATAATAATCCAATATTCTAATAAACCATTTTTCCAAACTTTTGTTCACATTCTATGACAAATGATTATCTTTGTCCTTCATTTTATATTTGTAGTATAATTTTGTTTTATCCAGTTTAATGGGGAAAAAGTAATGGGGGTCTATGAAGACATTCATTGTTTTTAAAAAGGGGTCTGTGCAAGGAAAATGTTGGGAATCCTTGGAATAGAGCAACGGCCGCTGGAGCTGACTCTTTCCCGGTGTGTTGCAGTGGTGGCGGCAAACGACCTCAAGTGGCCCACGGTCACCGGCATGTTCCGCCCTTTCGTGGAGGTGAACCTGATCGGGCCGCACCTGGCGGACAAGAAGCGCAAGTTCGCCACCAAGTCCAAGTCCAACAACTGGTCGCCCAAGTACAACGAGACCTTCCACTTGTGAGTACTAGCTACGCGCGCGGTTACGACACGCGCCGCGCCTCAATCGCACTGCTCCCTTCCACACTCTTTCTTCTCTTTCTTCTTCTTCTTCTTCTTCCCCTTTCTTAATGTGTTACACATTCTTATATTTTACAGACTTTTCCTTAATTATACCCACAAAAATCATGACGACTCTTACGGTTATTTAAAGATGTTTGGTGCAATTAGATTCCAGTCGGAAATCTGCCACTGATCGAGAAGTACTACCGACGGGGGCAGACTTTTCGACACTAGCTACACAAATAGGTCACAAATAGGTCTTTCGACACTAGCGACACAGCTAGGTCAAATTCATCCGCTGTCTAAAGCAGAATTCTAACGGCCGACTGCTCTGATCGGTAGTTTTCCGTGGTTTCTCTGTTCAACAACAGGCGAATGCCGGAGTGTCCTACCAAACGGGCAAGAACCGCGCGCGGTATTTCCTTCCTTTTCCATGTCTTATCCTCACTACTTACTTACACACACACTTACGTGCACTACACTACCTCGCATGCCAGGAGAGCATAAATCTTGTCACGGCTGCGGGCGGTTCCCAACAGGTGGGATACCTGGTTGGGGAAAACACTGCAAGCCTTCCGGCAGGTCGGTGCCACATCTCGCCGTTCATAGGGAACGAACACCGCTGCCTCCCGAGGAAAACACCCCCTACTCTAACGGGGCAAATGACCTTACTAGTTGACGCACCTGGAAACGGGAAATAATTAATCCAACACGATTTTTTTAATAATTAAGACTCGGTGTTGGAATATGATGAGTAATTGTATTTAATTAAATAATTTATTAAAATGAAAATATGTAAAATGTTTGTACAGAAGTGTTTACTCCTAAAATTCAATGTAGCAACAGCATTTTCTTTCTGTCTTTCGTTAAAATTGTACGCATCAGCACTGGATAAAATTTCATTAGAAAGCAACAAAGTTCAGAAATCTATGATTGATTGATTGATAATTTGGTATTTCCGGGTGTGTCTACGGCTATGGTTATTATTCTCATAAATAAAGGGCGTATTTTCATCACGGACGGTGACGCTTAATGATGAGATCCAGCGCCGACCTACACGTCGGCTCTCGTGAGTTTCCATCCAGATATTTCCCACCAGCGAGTTCCCAACCGCCTCAACCGGGACAAACTCTACGCTCCCGACAGGTCTCCCGACATGTATGGTAGTGTAGTGCATGTAAGTGCACTGCAGTAAAAGTTGCGGGTAGGTGAAGGAAGAGTAAGGAAAGATCACGCGTGGTCCGTTTGATATGGTACTACACCAGCATTCGTCTGGTATGGATCGGAGAAAAAAAACGTAAATCACCTATGAGAACAGCTGGCCGCTAGAATTCTCTTCCAGACAGCGGGTGACTTCGACTTAGCTATCTAGTTAGTGTCAAGAATCCTAGGATCGGTCAAAGACACTTATAGATATTTTTGACTTTCAGGAAAATCACAGAATCAGAAAAACGCTAATACCTAATTCGTACATTGCACATATACCACCAGGGAAGCATATTTTTCAAGAAGTTTCGAGATTCCCGAAACTTGAGATGTCAGTTACAAAATTCTCATCTGATACTATTTTTCATCACACTTAACATTCATATTTAATTGTACCAGAATATTTTGGTTGTTGTTGAATTGGATTAAATCGATCACATAATAGTACTTTTCATATTCAGAGTCAGATTTGCATAACCCTCTGACCAACAAGAGGGCTGATTGAATTATTTCAAAGCACATTTCATTATTTTTTTAAAATTATCTTCTTATTAGTTAACAATTAAAATATCAGATGCCGTTGTTTCTTAGTAAACATTCTGAAAATTCTTAATTACAAAACCTTTTTTTTTGCCACGTAGTCTTATTTTCGGCTTGCATGTATTCTTTCTTAATCCTCTTGAAATCGTGTTTTCCTAATGTGTTTTGAGGTTATGTGAACAGCAGGCGTTCATTAACGTGATGTTATAAACTTGTCTTCGAATTATCTACATAGAATTACTAAAATGTACATATCATTAATTCAAAATGATTATTAACCTTATTATCCAAAAACAATATTACAATATTTACGGTAAACATAGTAATATTACTTTGAATTTTAAGTGGGGTAACGGTTACACCCCCTTGGTATTGAAAGGATGCAAACACACTTGGTAGCCAAAAATTAAAAAATCTGGAATCAAAATATTTTTCCACGTAAAAAGTATTATTTTAAAGGTCATTACCTGTTCTTGTAATGTTCGTACTTTTATGTTCTGCGTTCTATTCGGGGAAGCTTCTCTTCGAGTCTCGGTTCGTCGCTCTCTCACAATGGGCTGCAACAGACGCTCGCGAAGAAATTCTGCAGTTTGTTCTGCACTTGCCACGCTGCCCGGCGTTTCCACTGCGGCTTCACGGAAAACCGAACCAATACACTGTAAACACTGTATAACACGGAGCTTGATGAAAAGTTAGAGAAAGAGAAATGAACAAAACTTCCCATTTCAGAACTTTCTTCGTGAAGTACAACAAAGCTCATTTACGCTACCCGACGGCAGTTACACGTGCATGGAAAGGAAACCTTGTAAGGAAGTCAATTATGAAGTTTGTGTTCTTCTGTTCCCCATTTTTATTAGTATAAATTCTACTGTCTTAAATAATTTCTAAAATATGAATTGCAAAAAAATAGGAATTATAATATTGTCTTCTAATTATGTATTTCCTTGAGCCAAAAACCTTTCGGTCTCTGTGTGATTATCATAAGTGCAATTGTGTGGATATATTTTCACCGTGTGGATATAATTTGAAATTAGTTTAAAATAATAGGACCTGTGTTTTTAAATTCAGTGTAAACGCTTCAATTGATTATGATGAATGAAGTATGCATGTATCAAGTTTTCCTTATTGAGAATACCTCAGTAAGCTTTGTTTAAGCTGCGATGTCACTCAAAATGAACTTGGAAGACTCAAGTTGTACGTGGTTCCGGAAAGGTTGACACCACTGAGATAATGTTGAACATCTGCATGCTCTAGCTCTAAGTAAGACGATATGGACCCTGCAGCATCATGGAAAGTAGCCAGAGCGCCTCGACTCCAAGTGCGGGGAGCAGGTGTGGTTCGAATCCAGAGTAGACCAGAGGGGTGTTTCCACTATGTTCGTGTAGCATACTAGTTTTCTTTTTATACTACATTTCCCATTTCAACTATCATTCCTCCATAATCAATTTCCTCTCATCATTCACTCCTTACCATCATTCTACCATTCTTCCTGCAGTGGAATATACACATTAGCGTAAAATCCTCTCATTCCTCCCTTTAGAAATGAGTTAGTGTACATCATTAACCAAACGCCTTTTACAGCGCTACTCCTATCACAAATGCAACGCACTAGAACTTCAATTTCTTCTTTTTTTCGCAGTCACTATATTCTCAGTAGCAAGCGCACACAAGCGTGTCCTCTGGTCTGTTGCAGCATCATCGGCAACGAGGAGCAGTTGGACTACTTCGAGCTGCACATCTGCGTGAAGGACTACTGCTTCGCGCGCGACGACCGGCTGGTGGGCGTGGCGGTGATGCAGCTCAAGGACATCGTGGAGCGGGGGTCGTGCGCGTGCTGGCTGGGGCTGGGCAAGCGCATCCAGATGGACGAGACGGGCTGGACCATCCTGCGCATCCTGTCGCAGCGCTCCAACGACGAAGTGGCCAAGGAGTTCGTCAAGCTCAAGTCCGACATCCGCACGGAGAACCCTCTGCCCAACCCTACTTGAAGGGCCAGCCCCCCGCCGCCGCCGCCGCCGCCGTCGCTGCCCACGCTGCCGCCGCCGTCGCCACCGCCCCGCCGCCGCCGCCGCCTTCGTCCGGCAGCGAGGCTCTGAGGAAGAACCCGCAACGCTCGTGGGAGTCGTGGCTCTTCATCGGCGAAACTTCGCGTTTCCGTTCGATCTGAAAAAGAAAAAAAAATCTCGGTCCCTCTGCGACGCTCGGGACTCGATCAATGAAACTCGGCGTTCGGGTTTCGCCGCCTGAAACTCCTACGTTCCGCTCGCCGACTCGATAAACCGGCGAGCGCCCTTTCGGAAGACGCCTCTTCTTCTGCCGGAGGACGACAGGATGGAACTTTGGAAGTGGAAGGCCGGGAGGCGAAGACCCGGCCTCGGGAAGCCGTCGAGGACCCGCAGTTCAGCGCGCCGCGGTGGCCCCCGCCCCGCCCCGCTCCGCTCCGCCTCGGCGCCCGAGGGAGCCACGCCGCCGCCGCCGCCGCCGCCGCACCGGTCCACCTCGGTCGCTGTGATAGTCCGACGCCCAGCGCGCGCCGGCCCCACCTCGGGCGCGTCGACCTGCGTCCGTCACTTCTCTCTTCTCCATTTCGCTCTCTCTTCTCTGTCTCAACTCTCTCTCTTCTTGATAGCTCTCTGTGCTCGTCCGTCTTCTGACCTAGCACTTAACTACGCTTGCCCCTCGCGCGGCATTCTCTCGCGCTAGAGGGAACCTTCAACTACAACTACAATTATGCTAATCGAGAATTCTCACTTGCGTTTCCAACTTCGATCTATACATACATATATACATATATATATTTTAAATTCTCCAAAACGCAATATTGCTACAATATTTCTTATGGTGTGATACTATTTTATACAAGTGAAATATCATTATCAATTATCTATTTTAAAGAAACATTACTATAAAGACTATAGACTCTAGTTCGTAAGCACACACATACATTATACACGCACTCTCTCCTGAGTCGCGGCGCGCAGGGGGCGGGGCGGGGCAGGCGAGTCGTGAGGGGTGATGGGGCTGGCGGGGGAGGGAGAGGGGGGAGCAGAAGGCGCAGCGGCAGAAGCAGCAGCGCGGCACGGCGCGGCACGGCGCGGAACGCGTCCACGCTGAGCGAGACTTCCTCGCAACACGTCTCAAAACAATTGTGTACCTGATTAGGTGAGCCGCCTCCGCAGCAACAAAAAATAATTAAATAAATAAATAAAACGTTTTGACGCGAAGCGCTCCGTTGCTCGTGGCACTTCGCCACCCTACGCCACGCCACGCCTCGCGGAGCGCGCGAGGCACGCTGTGGATTGCGTCTATTTGTACTTTCCCAGTTTTTATACATACACACATACACCTGCGTACACCCTCACACTCTCTGCCGAGCGGAGCTCCGTGGCCGACGGACGAGGACGAGCCTGCGTCGGGCCCGCTCGCTCTCTCTATCTCTCTCCGACTAACCCCCCTCTCTCCATCTCTCACGTACTCTCTCCTTTGGTTCGGCCTGGCCCGCCTCGGCAGTCCCGCCTCTGGGATGAGAGCGTACATAAACAATACTACTACTGACAATACCATGTTCGTCTGCATGAAATGGCAGTTCATTTGGTCTAGGCCCAACGCCAGCTCCCGATTGCCGATTACCAATCCGCTCATACGAGCTGGGGCGCTCTGTCGATCACGCTGTGTTGGAGTTTGTATGTATCCTGCCAACTCGTAATCTTTCTACACCCTCTAGCTATCGCTGTGTTATATATACAATGGCCTGTCTAACCAAACCCTGTTACAAAATATTCTCTGTTACAAAGTGGTACTGGAAGGAATACTGTACAAGAATTGTTGAAAGTTTTTTCTATGTAAATGTATAAAATGAACAATTGAATGAAACTTAGTATAGAAAACTTTAAGATGAAAGAGAGAAATTACATACAGTGTGTTTTCATACAAGCATATTATTATACTATAAATCTACTACGATATATAATTCTCCTGTTCTTCCATTGCAGATTGATTCTAACTCGTACTGTGTGCGGGCGAGCGCGCTCTGCGGTGGCTCGCAGCGCCGGCCCCGCCCCACCCCGCCCGCCCGGCCCCCGCCCCGGCCCGCCGCCGGCGCCACCCCCGCGCCACTCCCGGCGCCGCCCCCGCCCGCCGCCACCCGGCCACGCAGAGGCGCGGCCCCACCCGCGAATGTAACATATCCAGCGAGTGCTCTGGACTGCTCTCCATGTGTGGCGTGTGTTCAAGTTATGAAGTGAGAGAGAGAGAGAAAATGCACACAAAGGATGGTTGTGTAAATTTACTTTTTGTCATATTAAGACAAATCTGTTTTAATTTCTGCCTCTTTTGTGAGGCGTGTTTCTCCCAATCCCATGACACCCCGGCCCCTGAAGGATTATATAAAGAGCACACAGGTCGCATGCTTGTTTTCCGAGGTTTCTACCTCAAAAGGAATTCAGGATACATTAAACCTGTCTTACCAACCCCTTCGAAGAAAATGTCTGAGATAACACACGTTTGATTTATTCCATCTAGCAACATGTATTTTATTGGCATGACTCTTTAATGTAGATCATGTCTTGAGGAATACTTACACTAACACCCCCCTAGTACTTACTTGTATCGTACCATGTAACTTCTTTTGTCCTACACAATTTATTCCACATTGCATATTTAACCTATTATAGTCGCTTTTTGCCACACTGTTGTCCTGTTTAAGCCAATATTCATAATACCCTCCAGTATAACCCGTTGTTGCTTCAGTCTTCACCTAACAACCCTAATTCTGACTAATATGTCTAGCACAGTTATCAATATGCCACTTTTATTTGCATTCCTAGGTGTAAGTTCTCTTCAGGGAAGAACATTTCTCCCTAACAGTATTTGAATGTGTATTTTCATGTAATAACACCGTGGAGAAACGGAACACATACATTTTGTTGTATCACGATCAAATCTCATCTGTTCCTACTAAACGCTCGCGTGCAGTGTGATTTTGTACAATACAATGGTGCTTTCAATAACTGTGTTTCTCGAATGATCTCGTTGGAACATACTAAACCCCTTGAACAATTGAAGTATTAAAAACAATTTCAATAAAGAACATAAATTCTGCGAGGTAAAAATGTACATTTTGTGTTCACAAACCAGACATCATACACGTGCCACAGACTTCTCACAAATGTACCAATTACCCTTGATTCCATTTCCATCGTTCTAATGTCACCTTTGTGAAGGGAAGCTTTATGTAAGCAATAAGGTGAATGTATGAAGTACATCAAAGACCTTCAAATCACTCGTAATTCATGTATATTAAAAACTCAAATTATTGAAATATAGGGAAGGTTATTTTGGTATCTACATATTATATTCATGAAGTTCTTGCATGCGTTATATACTAAATTACTGTTAACGTTGTGACATACTACTATTTTCATTGAATTTAGTTAAGTAAAACAATTGTAAAATAGATGGTTTTCAAAATTTTTCTTATTGAGGTTTGAATGCATTAAAGTTTCACAAAAGATAGTAAGGATTCCTGTTTCTGTCTTTCTCTGTTTCATTGTAACAATACATCGGAATTTTACAATGTAAGACTAAAACTATCTGACATTCAAAATAATGACTTTCATACCCTACATAAAGATTGCTAGAAGTTTGAAACATATATGCTTTTCGATCAAAGAATTTGATGAAAGATAATATGCTATTGAATTATTATTAACATATTTGAAGTAGATGAATCTCGTTACAAACAAACAACATTTTAGGGTAACTAACGTCTCATCGCATTGTAAGGGAGCAACGTCCATAACATTTCACTTTCGCTGTAAAGAAATATCAACATTTTATAAACAATGATAACTCTGGATGTAGATGTTTAAGACAAACTGCAACATACATTCTACAAATATGAGACGTTCTAGTTTCTGGCTTGGTTTATTCGTGATATCTTAATTAAATTACTAATCAAAATTCAACTTTATAATTTACAACCAATTGTTTCAGCGGAATTATTTAAACCACAAATTCCATTAATATTAATTTAATAGTCTGATTATATTTTTTGCCGAAGAGAACGATCTTCTCCTCCTGACTACTATTTATAAAGTCTTCAACTATTCGGGATCATTATCAAAAAGATATAATGCATAAGATCTTAATTCAATAATTAGCTTACAATATCCATTTGCTTGGGATTGCAGTTTCACCAGTACTTCAGACTATTCTGTTAATTCGAAATGTATGTATATGACAAGCAATGTCATAATTTAATTCAAAGAAATCTTATTATTACCATTATATTGACACAGCAATCAAATTAACAGATCTCTTTTTTGCAAAATATCCATCTAGTAAATATCATAAAATAAATATATTATAATAAAACTAGGCGAAACGTATAATTCGTTCCAAAATTAACAATTGTATATGCACACATGTCTTGGTGTAAGCGTCAGATAAATTTAGTTATAGGAAATCGTATTTGGGAAAAAAATTGTTAGCTTTCAACGATATAATTTTACATGATATTAGTGGCTGATTATTTTAACTGATCCATTTTAAATTTCATCTAAATTCGTTGGTTGTACTGTTTACAATGGTTCAACTAATCTTTCAAAATTCAAATATAAGTATTGAGTGCAATAGGCACCTGTCTATTCAAAAAGTTACTGATCGTGATACTCGAGTATCATCACGGTCATTGAGAAAAGAACTATATTAAATTAGTGATTAGATGCAATTAGAGGTTCGAAAAATCACTACAGACATGCAACAAACAGGTATATAACCAAGCATCAAATCCCTACATACTACATATAATAAAATGAAATACAATTGGCAAAATTAAGGAAACCTCAGTTCTATTATGTTTCGAAATGACAATCAATACAGGCGTTTCAAATACTTCAACATTATAAATACAATACTTATCATAATATTTACAAACAAATCAATTTGCTTTCTTACGAAATTGAAGACTCACAGAAATAGAGAGCTCAAACAAGAAGACCTAAGGTAAGTAGAATGCATTTTATTTTTTCATTACGAAA